TTTTTTTAGGTACAAATAAAAAAATTTTAAATATTCCTCAAAAAGATTATATTTTGAAAATTAATCTGTTTTCAGTCATAGAAAACAAAGTTGAGATTATTGCTGGAAATTGTTTTACAGCTTAAAACAATACTAGAATTTAGAAATAAAATGTGATGAATAGAAATTGAGCTAAAAGTTCTAAGCTTTCAAGCCTGTACTATTATCGTGCACAATATTGTATTCCATTACTTCTAACACAAAGTAATGATTTTCAATCAACTATACAATCTCGTTTATGAATTCATTAAAAAAATATATAGCAGTAAATTTTGAAACAAAATAAATAATAAAGTAATAGTTAAGCATACCATGAGCATTTTTCAAAAAAATTTTGTAGATTAATAAAGATTTTAATCTCCACTGACAATATCCAAACAAAACTGATGATGGTGTAGTACTTTGATTCGATAAACAACTATAACTCATTTTTTAATATATCTGACAATTTAGAACTTTGCACTCAATGCAGTGTTGAAAAAATAAAAGAGTTGCAATAGTAATATTGTCATCAATAACTTTGCTATTATCAGTTACTACGGACGCATTATTATTATTATTATTATTATTATTATTATTATTATTATTGTGAATTATAAATGATTATGAGAAAAATTTCACATTACTTAGATGATAAATGGTATTAAGAAGAAGCAGTATTTAAGAAGACTAATAAAGGAAGTGCGTACTAAGCAAATGTGAATATTTAGCACTGAAATGATAGCGATGAGCAACAAAATGGTAATCTCATAACTTTTCAAAAATTGTCTACTTCTTATAGCTCTGTACTTCTTTAATGCTTTCTGAGGATAATATGCCTACTGGCAATGCTAGATTCAAATTGAATTTGCTATAAATACTTGTATTCGGAATGAAAACGATGGTAATGGTTTCATTTATCTTCAATTTGCTTTTTATCAAATTGGCAATGATAATACATTTGCTAATTTGTAATGAAAATAGTCTGTTGACTTATGTGAAGCAAAATAAAATTGCTACGAATAATTTCAAGGTATTCGCATTTTTTTCTTATTCATCATCGTAATCATCATCAACAAACATGCATTTCATTCTCATATAATCATCAATTAATCGTATTCTCTCGGTACTATCAAAACTGGATTTCATTCATTTCAATTCAGTTTCGAAGGGAAAAAAAAACAGGAATTAATCTGAATTGTATGAGGCATAAATTCTTTTGCAATTGCAATATAAATTTTTGCCTAAGTTAGTTTGTACTGACGTGTTTCATGAAAATTGAAGTGAAGAATGTTTCTTTTAATTGCAGAACCAAAAAATTTTTTCAACTGTACTTTCTACAGTAATGATTCAGACTATTGAAATTCAGTCAAATATTGACAAAGTCAAATTATGAAAAAGTTTTTTGGGGTTCTTACTATTAATACGATTTTAATAACTTTTAATAATGAATATTTCATCGTTAATCAATATCACATACACTAATACTGAAATTACCTTAATCAAAATCAAAAGTCAGTCGATAATATTTGATAAAAGCTTCCGATTATTAAATATTTGATAACTCGATTTAAAGCTGACTAACATCAAATATAAATACTTCACATTTATTTACAAGGTGATGCTGAGGACTGAAAAAATTTTCAATGTAATTATTTACTTCAAAACTGGACCTGCTCAATTTTTTTGATTAAAGATTTAATCTGGTCATGACCTCTTGAACTTTTCAAAATTCCTAAACACTTTTCTCATTTTAAAAGGCATAAAGTATTTTTGGATAAAAAGCTCACTACAATTTTTTTGCAGCAAATATCATAGACTTTAGCTTAAATCTTATTTGTGGAGAAATTAAAAGAAATTTTATCTGAAAATTTACTTCCCAAAAAATTTTTTGAGTTCAAAAATTCCATGATGTCTTAAAACGAAATTTCAAGTACGGTAGATTTTTAAATGCGTTACTGCGTCTGCTTAAAATAAATTTGTGATGGTCATTAACTTGTTCTATTGTATATACAAGTTCGTACGTTAACTTCTATTCTTATAATTACGTGTTTTTAGGTTGGCAGCAAACAGTTGTAATGTTTGCTAGTGTAATTCAAAAGTACTGCTCACAAATAGTATGCAATACTTTCACGTCTATTGCTTCAACTTCATTATGCTCAAACTTGCATTTCTACAACGATCAAATATCGGTGATATCTAATCACTGCCAGTCAGCTTATTGTTGTCAGTCGAAAAAGGTGCTTCATTACTTTGAAATATGATAATTGGTATGACCAATCGTTAATGTATATCAAAAGTAATCAATAATAATAACGTTAATAATCACTATAATTAACTGTTATTGTGGGTATTGCTTTATTTCAGCCTATGACATTAAACCGAATAATATTAAATATTTCTTGTTGTATGCCTAAGCTAATATCAGATTTCGAACGTTTGGTTTTAGTAAAATTCAATCACTTTTATAATAAGTACGATTTGCACAACCATAATGTCGAAACAAAAAATTGACAACGTGAGAATTTTTCGGCATTCAAAGTTACATCTAATAATAAGTATTTTATTGTATTTTCTATTTTTCGTTATTTTTCGATTGGTTGTCGAAAACCTGCAAACTACGAAAGTCAATAAATTAATTCAGCGCGAATTCAAGCTCTTTATTATTATCTTTATTTACGCTTCATAAATTGTATAAATATCTTCAATTCAACGTGAATTTTATTGTTTTAGTTCCTATCAGAAGAAACTTCGCCTGATTTAGAAGACAAGACAACGAATTTATTTGTCTCAAAAAATAGCTCTGAATGTACGAAAGACCATAAGTCTAAGGATTTTGAAGAAAACGATAGACATAGTGAAAAGCAGGATTCAGTGAAAGTTAACTCACGAAAAGAATTTTATTTGCGCGAAAATGAAATCAAGATAGCTAAAAGTACTGGAGTCGGCATTGGTGATGGAAAATTTGGAGGTTAGTGCAGAATGGCTCAGCAACATTTTCATTTATTTGAATACTTATAATTCCTATGGTCTTGGAGAATAATATAAAAATTTGTGAACAATTAAAGGCAAAAGCTGTCAAACTAACAAGCATCCAGTTACTCAACAATTTTTTTTTTTGAATGTGATAATGAAAACGTTTTTGCTAGCATATCTTATGGACCTCCTGATTTCAAAATCACCAGATAAAAATACTCTGAATGGTATGACTATCGCTATGTTTGATTTTCATTCGATACGTTTTGCTGAGCGGTTATTAAATGCTGGTGTGTCAAGTCTTTCCATTGTTGAAACGTCGCAGAATGAAGCACAAAAAGCCAAGGTTTATATGTTTGCGAGATATTATTCATAAAGATAAAAGGATTATATTAGTTCTTACTTGCTAATATGTAGTTATTAGAAATATAATTCGCGGATAGTTTCAATTCACTGCTTTCTATCTACCTAGAAAATGTTCATTTTGTTGGAATGATTAGGATGTCCTTGATTCTTGCAGTGAAAAACTATTGTTTGATAATTCTCGATCTACTGGGCATTCTTTGTTGAGTAAAAAAATTATGGTTAGTACGAAGTATGGTATTGAAAAGTCGGACCTGTGTATTAGAAAATTAAACTTTCACTTTTGCTCTGCAAAATTATTTTTCACTTATGTGTAGTATGTCACAAAGTTACTAGATAGGGAATTAGTCGATAAAATAAAGGTTTTATGCCATGAAAACTTCAAATTTTGATTTACATTCACAGAATTCTATTTTTATCTGTAGTCAGCAAAAATTCTTGTGAGCACAATTTGTTTTGACCCATATATTCAACAATGGTTTTTTGTTGGACGTTTAATTTTTGTGTAATAAAAAAAATTTTAAGACCTGAAATTCAAATCGCTACATAAATTTAGAATCATGACGTATGAGAGACTATCATGAGATATCCATAAATTGCTGATTTTTATTTATCAATTAGGAATACAATTTTAGTCACGAATGATTAATTAGGGATACAAAATATATGGAATAGTAATAGGCACATAATAATAAAATTTTGGTGTTTTTGATCACAGTTACTGTATTTTCTAAGTCGTCTCATCTGCATTGTTCTTATATAAGAATTGCTATCTCCATTATATCCAACCACAATTATTTTCTTTCCGGTATTACTTGACTGTTTAATTTGATTTGATGATTGTCTTGTAAATATTATGAGATCATCTTTTTCGTCTGTATTTCTGAACAAATTTTTTTAATAGAAGTTGGCAAAAAATAAAATGGTTCTAGAAATTTGAAAAAATTGATGGACTAACCGAGAAATTTCAATATCATTTTGTTTTTTTCGAGAGAAAGTTCTGATAATGGGTTGATCAGATTTGGGTTCACTATTTAGCATTGATATATTGTTTCCTTGGATATGATGATGCATACGCCTCGTGCCCTGAATGAATTGATGTCTCTGTAAGTTTCATTGATTTTATTTTCCGATATAGTACAGATTCAGCATGCTGGTAGAATTTAGGAGTTGAATTTATCCTTGTTTCATCTACTTTATACATATTTATAATTAATTTAATTTTCACTCACTTCTTTTTTATCATTACATGAAATACGTTTTTCGTATCGAGGTAAAAGTGTACTAAATCAGAATGCTGTATTTTAGAGCTTCAATAAAAGCACTGCAGATGTCAAGTATTAGACCAGCCAGAGCAAGATAAAAATTTCGTGAAATTTTGCGCAAGCATTTTGTAGATGATTTTTTTTGCCAAATTTTTAGAAAAAACATACAAAAAGCTTTTTCCGGCGATATTTTAGACGATTCCGACTTGTCATAGATTGAGTTTTGCCATTTTTATTAACATTGACATGACATTGCCAGAGACCCAAATCTTCGTTGTAGTTCATCTTTGAGATCGCCATCGAAAAATTACCCTTTACTTCATCGTATAAAAATGAATACCGACCTAAATGGAATAATCTGGATTAAATTTCAAAAGGCCTTTATTTCTTGGAGAGCTTGGACCTTTTGTGACGTCCTACAACGTAGGCTTTTAAATTTTTTTTCAGGCATTTCTAATTGTTTGCCTTTTAAAAGTAATGGTCCTGTCGGTTTTTGCTGACATTTAATCGAATGTGATGAAAACAGAAAAGTGGTATTTCGAGACTCTGGTTGCGTTGTTTCCATAATTTATGGTTAAACCAATTATAGCAACTAATTATTCTCTAATTTAGGCTCACCAGATTGTGGTATTTCCATAATTACTATCATTTTAGATACCTTGAGTTCATTTTACTCCATGACATTCACTATTATTTTCATTTATAACAAATTTGTGTAGTGATTTCATTCAGATTTTCATTGTTTGAAAACGAAAACATAATTTGCGAATTACAAAATATCAGAAACAAATGATTAATGTTAACGAGAAGTATTTCTATTGTGGGAATTAAATGGGCAAATAATAAGAGCCAAAGTGAGTGAGATATGAATTTTACTGAAGCTGATACTTGGAAAGCAATTTTTTTTGAATGTTCAATTCTCGAAGATTTCAAATTTGTGTATCACAAAATCAGAGTTTTGATATCATACGAAAGTCTTGAACAAATTTTTTGGAACAAATTTTTTTGCTACATTTTTATTGACTTACTTTTTCAGTTATTTTAGTTCTACTGAATAAATCTTATTGTTATCATACCCATAGGGTAAAATTTTAAAGTGAAAGAAGTAATCAGTCATTAATTACCTTTATTCATTTTTATTTGTAGAACTGATTTCTTGCCTGCACTTCTACGTTCTAGTGTAGTAAGCTTATGCGATAGAAGTAGTTCACCATTTCTGATTTTCAACCACACTTCCTCATCTTTGGTCCAAGTTACTTGTACTTTAATCTTCAATTTTTAACAATCAAGTTTGAATACACACATTTTAATTGGATAATAGTGGAAAAAGCCATTACTATTAATACTTCAGCTATGGTTGGTTTGAAACATTTTATGCATAATAAATGGTCGTATATAGAGTAGACAAGATATGCATTCCCTGATTGGTCATTAAGAGTTAGCTTTTGATACTGAAAAAAGAATGATGTTTCAAGTAACAAAAAAAGGAATATCAGTAGTTTCGAGAATCCTTGAGACTCAAATTTATCTCAAGTCAGTTTGTGAATTCCAAGTTAAGTGTACTGACTTATACAGTTTACCTGTTCCGAGTAGGAATCTTGAACGTGTGGACAGTTTAAAACGAATCGATTTTCATAAGTACTAAGATCAGTATTAGTTGGAAAGTGATAAAATGCGGCTTGGCCAGTGATATCTGAATTATTTCTTACATTGTAATTGATTTGAAATTTGATTTTAAAGTTAAATTTGGATTAAAGTTTAAGCGTGTCTATTACAATTATTAAGCAAAATATGTGATTATATCACGCAATACAAACCTTTTCGTCTTTGTCTATGACGTAGTTTATGAAAGTTATAGCTTCTGTGCGCGTAGTCCATTAGTGTTGCTGATAAGCATGTCATTAATAAAAGTGAAACTGAAAGCGTTTTGTAGAAATTCATTTTTTTTAGTTGAAGGCATCAGAATGAAACTCAGATGTCAGTGATGGTGGTAATAGTTATAAAAATAATATCAGCAGTAATAGTAGTAAATGTAAATATAACTATGTGAAGTTTTTGTTTGAAGATTCAGTTCAGCCAAGCACTGAAATAGGAATTGACACATATTTCATGAAGTAGTAGTAGCCAGTAGCAGTAAGATCTGCTCTCCAAATTTAACTCATGTGATGCTTAAAACAGTTGATGGTATATTATTATTTGCTTATTAATTTGTTGGAAAATGATTTTTTTAGAGAGAAATAAGCATGGATTTGAATGGAACATTTAATCAGTTAACAATCAACAGCAATCCTTAAAAAAATTTAAAACTCAAGTAATATCACTTGAACAACATAGATTGTCCTCTAGTACTCAACAGAAACTGATTGCAACAAAGTCATTCATTCGTATTTATCAGTATTTTCAACTTTGTTATACAGCAATATCCGAAATGATTTAAGATTAAAAAAGGAAAATGAAGGATTCAGAAAACGGTGTTTTTAAAATGAGGGCAGTGTAGCAGGTTCATAAAATTATGCCCTAATGGGAGAAATTGTGGAATGATGGATTAGTGCATGGCAATAGATAAATATTTTGATAGCGTATTTTAGTTTTTGGCTCAATTTATTGCAATAAATGAAAAAGTAATGGCTATTTGTTATAACTCTAGAAATGATAATTGTTAGTTTAAGATACTCATAAATTAATACATGCACCGAAATAATTGTTCTTAATTTTATTACTGTTGCTTTGGTTGGAGATGTCGTTTGACAGCTTTTGAATTTTAAAATTTTCAACTGAAATTGAGTTGTAATGAGTTAAGTAGATGTATTTATATCAGCTATCTTATAGTTTCATATTATTTGCTTGATCTTTATAACTTACTTATGGTAAGTTTGTAATTAAATCTAATAAGTGAATATTAGAGCAATAGGTATTATTCTAGTGTTTCTAGTAAAGTTGGTCTCATATACTATGTGTTTGCGAGAACAATATTAAACAAATGAAAATATGAACATAAAATTATGGCACAGTAATTGTATATCTTGTTCTTGTCTAAAAATGCGGTTTTTTTTTTCAGGAATATGCTAGGAAAGTGCAGAAAAAACGTCGTTTAATGGTTGGAGCATATCGAGCGAGTATGGAATCCTTATTTCCACTCTGTACACGAAAAAAACAATCGAAGTTTCCTGCTAAATTGCTTTTTGCCAATCAATATGTAATGAGAGATTCTATCAATCCGTTAAAATTATTAAGAAAAGATACTTTTCATAACTGTATGTTTCATTTTAAAATTGATCCTTAGGTATAATTTGCAATACGATTTGAAGTCTTACAAAATTGAGAGTTTGAAATAATTTTTTGCTAAAAATAGTTGCTTAGCATGATTGATATTCATAATTAATATAGCAGTTAATGAGATTAATTCGTCTGATATGTTATATGTTTATATATACATAGAAAGATTTAGTTACTAATATAATCATCTTGCGATCGTAGTATATTTACCGAGCTATTGATAGAGAACATGGAATTAGTTTACAGACTATTTCTATTTAAAGTTATTTTAATCAGTTATTTGAGGCAATATAATTAGCGTAATAATTGTTTGCGCTAATTAGTAATAAATTATCAGTAGAGTTGTGAAGAAAATTCCGGTTTTACTTGCAGTAACTTTGAACTCTTTCTATCAGCATAATTTCTTTTTTGAAAATGTAAGTACTTTTTAATTTTACAATTTCAAGACAAATAATTTATCAGTGTATTCATTTTTGAATGTTTAGTAAAGTTAATGCTTTGCATGAGAGCGTGTGGTGTAGGGATCTTTCAATTTTCTAGTATGTCAGTTTCTAATTTTTTCTTAGTGTTTTGTTTTAAGCAGTCATTGAATATTTAAATTTGAAACTGTGAAAGCGTAAAATACATCTTGATGGAAGAATTTTTCCACAAGATGTATTTGTAAAATTGCAAGTTTTATGTAGTTAGAGAAAGGCTTAGGCTAATTTGTATTTCAGAAGCGGAAAAAAAGTAAATTAATTAAAAGGACATAAAGGATGATATCAGATAGATCATTTCTCAAAAAGTCATATCTAAAAGGAGAAAAAAGTTATTGTTAATGCTCAGTCAGTCAAAAATTATTCTAGAAAACAAAAACTCTTGAAATATTAAATACGGCTCTCATACTTCAAGTACACAGTAGCATATTAGATATCATGGTAAGATATATTAAGAAACTGAAAATTGTAGTGAATAGATGGAATGACATAGGTTTGAATTTAAACCCAAGCAAGAAACTAGATGACGCTGTATAGCAAGCACTAATTAGATCTAAAAAATGAAATAAATACAATTATTATGGTGATAGTTGGTATTAAAATTGACAGAAGACTGAAAGCTGAGAAGTTGTTATGAATAAGCGAAATTAGTTATTCCGTTCCATTAATGATGCAACAAACTATAAAAGAAAAAAGCACGAATCTCATCCATAGGATTTTGCTGCTGTAGTGGGGATATATGATGTTTTGCTGAAAGATTTGAGCTTAGATATTTGCCGTGTAGAACAAAAATGAAAGCAAGCGTAGTGAAGCCCCGTATCTATTCTTGCTTGCGCTTTATTTTTCAAGCCTAATCTTTGATGGGGCTAGTCCGGAAAGCAGATATAATCTACTTCTCAGTCCTCTTTTTCTCAGTACTAATTCTCATACAAATAACAAATAAAACAGATATGCGGCTAGCTAGCTGGCCAGTTATTTAGCCATATGGATAAATATGTATAGATTGGGCAGAACACTTATGCATTTTAAAATCTGACAAACTTTTTCTTAGTTTCTGTGTTGCTATTTCAAGCAAGAACAACAATCAGCTTTGAAAAAGTCGCTTTCTTTCTAGATGTGTTTAAGTTGATTAAATGAAGATGCATCAGAAGGATAAGAAAGCTGAAAATATGTTACGTCTCTTGTTGTGATGCTTTTTGTTATTATCAGGACTAAAATTATCACTTATAAATAAATAATAAACATATAACATATATATATGGAGGAAAGTGATTCATAGAATTGAGATGAATGTGAATATGTTATTTCACAAAATTGAAATTTACAATCAGTTATTTGGCTCTTAAACTTATCAGACCTTTGCATTCGTTTTCTATCTATCTGTCATCTTGTGTTATTCTTATTTAAGTTTTTGAAAAAAAAGAAAATGGAAATGTAATTATATCTTTCATTTGTTAAATACTTATTTGAAACCTTTACAACTTATGTAATTAATTTGCATAATTTATAGTAGACCACAAGATTTTTTTTAGCGATTTGAATTTGTTTATCCATTTGTAAGTCAGAAATGCAAATAAGTCGTAGGCATTATACTATCATATATTATTGTCATACTGTATGAAATGAGATTCAATCATATAACTAACTCATTTTAAATAACCAATTGAGAACGTAGTTTGAAAAGATTGATAGTTTAGAAAATTGATTCTGAAATTGAAATCATGTTTGCGTTTATGCATGGAGTGCTTCATTACTTACTTAAGATGATGAATCTGGTGACAAGCAGCAGTATGCTCCAGTAATAATTGGATGTTTACCAACAGCTAACCAACAGGCGAATATGCTGACCTCATTAGTTCATAATTTAATCATGCATTTATGTGTACTACAAAGAAATACGATGTTTCAGTTTGGTTCTGTGAAACTGATGACATTTCTTTCGGCTCAGTAAGTTATATCAATATAAATTCATGTTGATTTTGCAAGAGTATTGTTGATAATTCACTTATCGTAAGCCACGAAGACTGATTGCTATAGTAGTTGCTGACAATTATATCAAAAAATGTCTAGTGTAGAATTCAATTGTAACCATTTGATTAGATTTGAATTCATTATTCATGGAAATTTGATCTTAGCCAAGTTAGCATTCGAGTGAGCAGTTATATCATTGTGAGCAGCATTATAAAATCTACATAATGTTGTCTTGCTAGGGTGTATATGAAGTTGCTGTTATCAATTAAAAAGTGTTAGTATGCTTTCTTCTGCAGTTTGACAATTTTTAATTTACTGTTAAATTCATTTTTATTTCCATAACATATTCCTTTTCAGTAATTTTGCATTAGCGGTATGTGCTCAAGATGAAAATATGTGGTTTATGTCAGCTGGAAGTAAACACAAATCATGGTTACTTAATAAATTATTCACAATTAAGCCAGTATCTGGATACTTGGGTTTTCCTCGTCATACATTCAGCCCCCATTTTCCGCTACCTAGTTCTCTTCCTCACGAAAAAAAATTTGATCTGGTAATCTGATTTTTTAATTTAACTTTCTGGTAACTTCTAATACTTTCATGCATTTTTTCACTGTGATAAGATTACTAGTTTTCCATCATTGAAGTCTGCAGTATTTTTTTCGAAAAAAATAAAAATGTCACAAACGTCACCCTTTTGCCAATTACATTAGCAGCAAAATTATCAAGAAAGAAATTGATTTATTCTTTCGGACCTGATCACTCAGTTATAGATTGGTATTAGAAATGAAAATCTGTATTGTATAGCAATCGAACCAAGAAGTGACATTAATATCAATAATCTTGATTTGTTTACTGATAAAAATATGGATGACGGAATAATAATGAACTCAATGGAAACTTTGGTAAAATACGCGTTTTGGATAATATTTACGGGTAAAATGACCGCTAAAACAAAGGTTGCTCAAAAACTGAGGTGGTTTTTGTTATTTAAATTCACATAATAGTAGAAAATTTTTTTAGCCATTCACTTGATTTTCTGAGCAGTTTATTTTTGAATTATTCTTTTTCCTGACTATTTATTTACATATGTTAGAAATGAAGCAAATTAGTGAATTCAGATTGTTTCAGGGAGTGGTTTCCAAAGACAAGCATCAATATAGAGTCTGTGGTTGATTCTAATACCAGAGTTGCAGACTTGAAACTTGAAGAATTTGATAAAATTTTTTCTTTAATCCACACAGAGATTAACGATGATTTTAAACATATCAATGAACTGAGGAGTTTTTATGCATATTTTATGCCTGCAGATGAAAATGTCAAATTTGCCGATTAATTAAAAAGTTATTCAAAGATTATCAATTGAGGACATGCAATAAGGTGTGAGCAGGAGGACAGGAAGAGTATTTTATCGTGGAAAAGATTTACAATTCAGCGAGAAATGAAGTTGACTGATCTGCAAACACTGCAACCAAAAGTACAGTTGAAATAATAAAGAAGCAAATGAAAACCTGTACAAATTTGTTAAAGCATTTATTTGTTTTGTATAGTTTGCAATTATTTTAGAATATTTCGGCATATGTGCTATGTCTTATTCTAGTAATTTGGTGCTAGAAATTATAATGTGAAAAGGTGCGTGAGGTGGTATGCTTGCTACCAGATTTTGCTCACATTTCATCTGAAATATAGCATATTTTTGTGCCCGTACCATTTTTGTAATCAGATGAATAGTTTGTGCTTTTATTCTCGTTATACTGCTATGGAATTAGTAATCAGTGTGTATGCATGCTACTGTTACTGTACAACTCGCTTACAAGAGAAGCATGAAATTTTTTGGAAAGCGGAATCGATTGATATAGTGACATGTTTTTTTAATAATAGAAACAAGCAATAAAGGTCAGGACGTATTTCTGAGCTTTACAGACATGTAGTACCTTCAGCCAGCAGCGTGGATGACTAAAAGTGGTCATGAAGTGGGAAACAACACTGTTATGGCGCAGATTAGAATTATATTCCGAGTTCTCATGCGCAGTCTCACGTAGTGTCATTTTGTAGACTACTAGAATTCTTAATTTTTATAAAGAATGAATAGAGTAAATGATTTGATAGTTACCTGCTAGGAAAGGGTTGGCGTCAGTTTTTTTTTTTCCTGACTTCAGGAAATCAACGTAACTTTACTTCCAAAACATTGTGGTAGAAGAGGTTACGTTTCATTTGCTGGAAAAGTCTGAATTTTGTGGATTAATCTCGACGACATTTTTCTTTCCAGTAGATTAAAGGAAGTCATAATAAGTAATAATTGCGTGAAATACGTCATGTCATGATGATATACTTATTATTTCTGATTTAATAACAAATATAAACACGCAGAGTATCACATTAATTTTATTTTTGAGAGATATTCTCTTTTTAAACAATAACTGTAAAAGTTACTGTGTCGATTGCGAGACTACATCAAGTTTCTCTGAAAATTATTCAGTGTAATTTTTGGAATGAGAAAGAGAGGAAGAGAAAACGAGGAGAGGAAGAGGAAAAGTTGTAATTGGTAGCAACTCGTTCTCGCTCTAAACAAACTTTGGTGCTGAAATTTTGCTCATTACTACGCATCTTCTTTTTTGCTAAGTATTCATTCGGTATGTTCAGTCAGGTAGTACTACCTTACCGTATCCCTGTTTAATAATTTTACTTCTGACCTTCAGCATTGGAAACTAGGACTTCTGACCTTCAGCATTGCAAACAAGGATTTTACGGTGACCTTTAAAATGTTATTGATCTTTAAGGAAAAACATAGGCTTTATGTAATAATAATAGTATCTATCGGAAATATAGGTTTGTCATCATTTGATAACGCGAAATTAAATTTCATGCTTTTTTTCCACTACAAATTAAATCATTCCCTAGACCGCTAGCATGTAATTGGTTGTTTTATAGGTTGGAAGTCTTTAAGTATTTGAAATACTTTAGCTTATTTTTTTGTTTCTATATAATAATATATGACTATTTGCTACATGTTATTTATGTATTTTTCAGGTTGGTACCGGGCATCATTCCATGAGCAGCAGTGCAACAGATGGTACCATTACTCGATCATTTACATTTAGTCGCCAGGTGTTGTGGAGGAACCAAAAAGTATTCATCGATCGAATATATCAGGTAATAAAATCTCCTGAAAGCACATCTTAATTCTGTTCATCAGTTGCACTCTATTCATTGTTAAGTTTCAGCATCATTCTGAAAGCATTTTGAAAATTTTCGACTTTTTTCACATTATACGAAAAATTAGAGAAGTTTAAAATATGATATAATTTTAAATAATTAAAGTAATGATTCATTGCAAATATCTAAGATATATCTTGTTTTGTTGCTGTTGTTACTCTCATCACTGTCATTAATATTAGTGTAAATATTATTATTTGTTTTAAAGCAGTATTTCATCTTTCTTAATATTTTCATAAAAAATTCAGTGGTATATGTATTTAGTAAGATGCAAGTGCGGTGAGCACATTTATTGTGACATTTTTTTTTGTTTTTACTCTCTTTGATACTTTGTAAGGTTTGAACTTTTATAATTATACAAGAGTCTGTTATTAAATGTTCATATAATTATTGTCCTAAACTTTTTGTCATTCTGTTAGCTTCAGTTTATTGCTGTTATTCTCATTATCCAAGTCTTTATAAGTTTTATATTTGCAGATATCCAACAATTGTCACCCAGGAATTGGACTGGATCAGGCAGCTGCGGAACATATTCAGGATATTCTGATATGTTTATTTTTCGAATTGTTAGAATGCCATCCACAAACCATCGAAGACATGGAGCGAAGCATGCGCATTACTCTACCAGCAAGCATGTTCCATTGGGTTATTCAGGTTTTCTGTTTTATCTTTGAAATAAATTAACCAATTTTCCTCTTTTCTACAAAGCAACCTTTTTACCACAGAACAATATTACTATTTTGATAATGAGGCATTTTTCAGTAATTGAAAGCAACAATTCATATCGTTCAAGTTAGAATATCACTGATCAAATAATTTAGAGTGTTGCAGTTTCAAAATACTCCTGAAGCACTTCATAAAATCTCAAGAAAGAAACTACATGATAAACGAAATGCAAACTCGAAAAGTTTGCTAAATCTTATGCATGCATTGCAACCCAAAATAAAAGTACTCTTTTGATTCTTTCATGCTATTATGGATTGATAGTTTTCATTTTATTTTATTTTTTAAAATTAGAGTGTAATTCTGTATTTTTTTTATCACGTAATATTCAACATATTTTCCCCTATTAAAGTATGCGAACCTCATAAAATTATTTTAGAAAACATCAGTGCCTTGATTATGATAAATCTTTACTTTTATACTCAAAAATTGGATCCTGACCTAATTGACCTTGTTCTGCATTGATAAAATGTAGTGTTTTATTTCAGGAATTATTAGGTTACAAACTTGATGAAGAAGTGATGTTGTACTTACTTTCAGTGATTGAATATATTGCTGCAGATATTCTTAAAGTATCACATTTTGGTTTCTTGCAGTGCGATGTTCAGTTCATTTTCTCATACAGAAATGATTTATTCGTTGTTCTTGCATCTAATTTTTTTCATTACAGTGGACTGGAAATTATGTGAAGAATATACGAAAATGTGATCCGACTATTGGTTTACAGAACTTAAAAATCGCACTTTGTGCTGATACTGTAAGGAAAACAAATTTTTTTTCCAGAAAAAATATATTTAAAAGTGAGAAATATGAACGCAAAAAAAAAAACAAACAGATATTCAAGTTATATTATTTTTAGCAATTTTAGTGATTATCTTTTCTCATTTTCCAACTGTGTGCTTTTTACGTAACATTTTTCACTTAACATAGCATAGCTATAGAAATGGTCACTACTGTATTTTCAGAGCTTGATGGAGCTTACAGAAATGTTATATAATGAAGATGAAACATCTACAGTTGGGATATTGAATGATAATGTCGAAGATATCGTCCAAGAAATGTCTTATGAAGAAGTGTTCTTGCAAATATCTTAGTTTTTATTTTTTTATCTAACATCATATTAAGCAAACATCTTGTAAAATCATTTTGGATATTTTTTGAATGCAGAGTTTTTTCATATATTTATTTAGTGGTTGTGAGATATTAATTTAATATTAGGCATCACGAGATTTTAACCGAGAAGAAGCTCAGTATCTTCGTGATCTTAATCTTATAATCCATGTCTTCCGACGCAGATTTGAGACTGTTTTTGATGATTCTGATGAGGTAATTTTTAAAATACCTTGCATCAGTTTATGGTTCATACTTCGGGAAAGTTCAGTTATATTGAGAATGGGAAAGAATTAATGCATCTTACTTGCTTTGCAGTGTTATCTTGACGAAATTTTTGGCAACATTTTGGAATTGCATGAGTTAACGATTAAAATTCAGCGAATGCTAGAAGATGCAATAGAAATGTCGGATACTCCTTGCGTGGGTGCTGGTTTGTGGGAACTTGCCGAAGCTCATGAATTTGATGTTTACATTGCTTATATGGTAACGTTTGTAATAAAGCTGGTAAAATAACATAAACTCAAGTATTCGGGATTTTTTGCGAAAAAAATATTCAAAAAGTTTTTTCCTTATATTTTTTAAAATATTTTTAGGATTTATTCAAGGGCTCACTTGTAACCGTAATCGATAAAGTGTTGAATGATGCAAAGTATGAGCACTTCTTCATGGTACACTTTGATAGTTTTATTAGAATTAGTTTTTAGTAATGCACAACGTCTGAAAATAAAAATTTGAAATGTTTTTATCATTTTTTTTTCATTTCAGCTCGAAGACCGAGCTCACAGCATAACACCAGGAGGCGAAACATTTCGACTTGCTGTGAAATACGTTTTGCCTTCACTTCTTGAGATTCCAGTTGTTCATTTTTTCCGTTATGTAGAACTTATTAATGTTAGTTTTTATGTTTTTAAAAATAAATAATCCTGATTCCGGATGTAAAGCATTTGTATTTCAGTTTTTAAACACTACTTCAGTAAGCCAAATTTGAAATTGATGTTTCATTCAGTCGCTAAAAAATTAGAATTAAGTTGTCAATAAAAGAAGATATGTGGCATATAGAGAATTATTGCTCTATTTTCATTAACATTTTTCAGATACTGTGTCACTTGGCTCAACCGGCCGATGAAGTCGAAGATTTGAAAAGCACAAAAAGTTATTTTAGTGGTCTCGTTGTGAAAGTAGAGTCATTATGTCCTTCATTTCTTATCAATCGTCTGAAAACGTTGGTCTATTTTTTATTAGCATTTATTAATTCTACAGATATGCGGAATATTTTTGAATTTTTTGGTTGCATTTTTGTTCACTACTGATTTTTGCTATGTAGGGAACAAAGTATACGTGCACTACCTGAATCAAGTTGTTCTCGTCAACGAAGGAGAATTCAAGAGATTCAGCGCAGTATAGAGTTATGGGAAGGCAAGGAAATTGGTTACAAATGTGCAGAAGTGATTCGTGGTAATATTTTTACTAGAAGTTTCTCTTAAAATCATAGTTCTTGCACGAAATCATCTACTGCTATCAAAAATTTCTTCATTAACTTTTTTAAAATTTTAGTTCTAGAAAACTTTTTGAATATTATCATTTTGATTTAAATGTAAAACATTTCACAAAAGATTCGGGAAGCCTGACAAGTTATTTGAGAGAAAACATTTATTCCCGTATGGTTCATGCAACTTCATTTTTTTCGAAAATTGAGATGAGAACAATCTCTACTTCTACTCCTCAACATTTACTTGTTATTTTCTTAATATTTTTGGGTTTTTGCATCTTACAGAAGGAGATTTGCTACTTCTACGATCTGGTCCACTGTATCCTGCAGGTTGGTGTGCTCATGGTTCAAATAATTAGCCTGAATCATCTCGCCTGTTGTAATTTTTTTCAGTTGATATAGGTTTTCATAAATACACAAGATCTTTTCTTTTTTTATTATCCTCTGTAAAGCAAGAAATCTACCCTGACTTTGCAGATACTTTGAAGAAGAGCAGAGGAACAACAATGCGTCATACATTCCTTTTCGATCATCTCTTAGTGCTTTGTAAAACATTACGTTCCTCAAAACCTGAAAAACCGCTTTACAAGTTTAAGGATAAAGTACTTATACGTAAAACGGATATTTTCGATCTGAAAGATACTGAAGGTTCTATAATTTTACCGTTAATGCACGTTCAATTTCATTCTTAATTGTTGTAGTGAAAATAGTCCGTTTCATTCATTTTATATATCGTTGTTTTATCGTAGAACTGCAAAATGCTTTCAAAATCGTATCACGATTAATAAACCATGAACGAGGAGACAACACATCTTGGACTTTATTTTGTCGAACGCCTGAAGAAAAAACAAGTTGGATGTGTGATTTGGTTAAGATTCAGGCCAAGAGGTAAATACTAACTTAATATTACCTATTTTTTCGCCTCATCGTCAGTATAAATTTTTGAAATAAAATGTCTTGTTTTTTGCAGTTCCTTAGATCGTATGTTAGATGCATCACTAAAAGAAGAAGAGAAACGTGTTCCATTAATTTTGCCATCATCTGACCAGTATAGGTATCATTCTATCTGTTTTGGTCATAATGAAATAATGGTTAATGAAATAATCATTATGAATAACCTTTTCTTATATATCAATAATCTTTTGTTATATATCGCTTTTATGTAAACAATATTCTTTTTAGTATAGAATTTTTTAGGTTTGCTGATCAAGACTGTGATGATAATATTGTATTTGAAGATTATACATCTAGTAGCGGGATTCCAGTAGTCAAACACGGAACTGTTCTTAAGCTAGTTGAACGTCTGACTTACCATTTGCAAGTTTTTGTTTGTTTTTCAATTCATATTATTATAAGGAAAGTTTTTTTGCCAAATTATAAGAGTCATTAACATTTTTATTTGCCTTTTTTTGACTTCTCATTCATTTATTTATCTGACGCGTACCCAGATTACAATCTGAATTTTTTAGATATACTGATTATAACTACGTGCGAACTTTTCTTACCACATACCGTTCATTTTGCACTTCTGCAGAATTATTGCAGTTACTTATTGAGCGTTTCCAAGTACCCACTCCACTGAAACTGCGAGTAGCTGAAGCGAGTAATTTGTCTGACATGGAGTCATGGTAAAAATTTACTGTGGCGTTTCATAGGTTTTATTGTTCTAAAATACGTTTATGTATATTTTTGATGGATTTTTTATGATTCAGTGACTTTCTGAATGCTTCTTGCCGCACATCGCGAGCACCAAACTTGAGGACGCAAATTTCTCCAACATTTTTGAATAGAGTAGAACGGAGTTATCAACGGTTCCGCAAAGAATATCAACAGCCGATACAGTGCAGGTAATACATTTTCTACTTATTTAAATATCACTTTGTTTTGGAAAAGGGATAAACCATTTGCTGTGTTTTTGTTTGCTCAGTTTAAGATATCATTCTTTGTTCGGACATGGAAATATAATACATCTGAAATTTTACGGAATAGTCTTCTACGAGAAATAGATTGTATTGGAAAAATTATCCTTTTTTTTATTGGCAATATTTCTTTTTTGAGAGTGCTGAGTGTGATTCGACAATGGGTCAACAATCACTGGTATGATTTCGAGAATAACTCAGTTTTACTAGGAGATTTGTGTGCCTTTTTGGAAGAAACTGATTGCCATGGTAAAGTCATCAATCAGTACAAAAAGTGGTGTAAAAGTATTAAGGTCATAGTTTCCGGGATGTTAATAACATTTTGCAACAAACTTATATACTACACAATAATAAAATATAGTAGCTTCATCTTTGTTTTCAGTAGTGTCTTTGAAGTCATTCTGAACTTCCGAAGATATGTTTTATTTTTGTCACACCTAACTGGTTGTTATCATATTTCAAAAAACGTTTATGTTTAGACTTGTATTGAGAGAAAGAAGCGATCTGACACATTACTGTCGACTGTACAGAGCGAACCATCTTCTCCTCTGCCAATTTCTTCTTATGGCCCGCAAAAACCAAAAGTAAATAAATTGATATAATTTTTTTATTTCCGAAGCTGGAAAGAATATAATTCCATTTTTATATTTTCTTTAAGTGAGGTATGTTCGTTTCAGTGTATTTGTATTACTGAGGTTAGAAATGAGCTTGGTTATTTAAGAAAATCAAATTTCTTGAAAGTCTAGGCTGTGAAAATTAGTGCAGTTTTAGAAGTATTGTAGAATGAAAATTATAGGTAAGGCTGCTGTTTTATTACTGCGAGCTCATTTACTTATGATCAGATTCTCTTCTTGGTTGCTATCAAAATTATTTTCTAGCTTCTATGGCATACTGCTGAAAAAGGAGCTGTAGAAACGTATGATCTTCTCTCATTGCATCCTATTGAAATTGGTCGGCAAATTACTTTGTTGCAATTTGATCTTTATAAAGCTATAAAACCTATTGAATTAGTTGGTTCAGCTTGGACAAAGCGAGATAAAGATCTTAGAAGTCCGCAATTACTGAAGTTAATCGATCACAGCACCATGGTGCGTTATTGTTTTTTTTCGTTCAACAGATACTGCTGCTTATTTTTTTATCTCTGTAATTAGATTTTAATGGAGATTAGATTAATTCAAAGATGGGTGACTTCGTATTTGCATCTTGTGTAATGTTTGTTGGTTCGAAATTATTTGAAGTTTGTGAAAAATGGACAAAATATTTATTTTTTCTGAAATGTTATTTTTTTTAGCTAACGTATTGGGTTGCTCGGTCAATCGTGGAAACTATTTCACTGGAAGAACGAGTGTATATGTTTTCTCGAGTACTGGAAATAATGTGTGTTTTCGAAGAACTCAATAATTTCACTGGACTAGTCGCTTTGTATTCTGCATTAAACAGCAGTTCCGTGTATAGACTTAAAACTTGTTGGGAGGTATTTATTTCCTTATGTGTGCTGTAATTGTAAATTTTGTCGATTTAATTTATTGGGTTTTAATTGCTCTAACTGTGTCTGTTAATGAATTTGAAGAAAATTGATCGTGAAAAGCAAATATGGTATGAAAAATTCAAGAATCTTTGTAATCCACATTGGAAAGAAATGATCGAACGACTGAAAAGTATCAATCCGCCGTGTGTTCCTTTTTTTGGTAATGACTTTCAAGCATGATTTGCAACATAAAAAGAATGATCGTAAATTTTATCATGATGCAGTATTTTCTTGTTTTGGTCTCTTTCAGTCAACCATATCTAGTTTTAACAAAGTTATAGTATCTAGAACTAAGATTGAGTAATATTGATCTAAGGGAAGATGCAATCGTTTTTTCATAACGATTCGATTAACTTCAATCAATTTATTCAAAATTTTCAGGCCATTATCTTTCAAAAATATTTTTTTATGAAGAAGGAAACAGTACATTTGTACAAAGCGAAGAAGATCTTGCCCATGAACAGGTTATCTTTACTTTTTTTGTTTCTTCAGAATCATTGACGAATTAGAATTTTATGGATTTGTCTGTTGATTTTTTGGTGCTCAGAACCTCTTCTACTTATCAATATGTTTCTGATGATTAATAAACATGTGTTATTTGAATGAGATCTTTAAACTAACAAATTTTTAATTTAATCGAATTTCACTAACATTAATAAATTTTATCTGAAATGAAGTTGCTGTTATGTTCCAAATATACATTTGTTTCGCAGTAAATAATCTTTTTCTTTGAACTTGATTCTTATTCGAAGACTTTAGGTACATCTTGCATTTCAGGGGAATGTGTGCCATACAAAATTTACTATTTTTTATTTGTTTTACTCATTTCGCTTGAAAGATAATGGTTCAGCATCGTTGTGTCTGAAATCTGCTTTTTTCTAGTAAAAATGAGACTGAGTGGATTATATATCTTATTTATTTATACATATTTGCTATAGATATTATACGTAACATGCATATAATTAATTTTAATTGTATTATGCATGTAATTAATTTTAATTGTATACATATATATTGACTTGAAATTAATTATCTATTGATTTTAAACTATTCATTTTCATAATATATGTGTTTAAGATCACTGCTGAAGGTAATACATCAATTGTTGGTACAACGAGTCGTAAAGTAATGGTTTCATTTGTAAAATGTCGTCGAATAGCTGCAATTATCAGTGATATACAGATGTATCAGAATGAACCATATGTATTTGAAGTGGAGCCAAGTATGAGAGTAAGTGAATTTATATAATTGACTGGTTCATCTTTTTTTTTCAATTCAAAAGTTTGTAAAATGAGCTACTCTCATTATTATCTATTGTTAATCAAGTTTATTTCTTTCAAGAAACACAAGCTATTAACGTTATTTGTTTTTAATCTCAAGTCTTTGAATTAGCTGTGAACATTTAAATGCAAATGTTGCTAGCTTCGTTTATCCATTCTTGATTATTGAGCATGAACTATCTTTTTTAATGATCCTACTCATATCTTTTCATAGAAATCTAGTTTTTGCATATATTAATCATGATGAATTTCTACTATTGTTCATGCTTCAATTTTTTGGTACTATTTTTGAATGTCATTCAGTTTTTATCTAAGGATGGCAAAGTGTTAGAATTAAATTAAATTTTATGGAAGTTTATGGGGGATCCTTTTAAATTTGTGAGAGTTTTTTTCACTAAAACTCGAAGGAAGGATAGAAATGATGTTGCTGAAGAAAAGACTGATGCCCCCCTCCCCTTTGTTTGTGTTTTTTATACTCAGAATGCCAAAACAAAATTGGTCATTCGAAATAGCGGAAGTTGGTAAAAGTAATGAATTGAATGGTATTAGAACTGGCAAGGATATAATAAAGAAGTGAAAGTGAGATAAGATGTGATATTATCAGCTTCTGACGAAATGGGTTGATAGAAGTCTGGAGAACAGAATAGCCATGTGTGTTAGTTTGAATACTGAACTGAGAGCAGTCAATTTTGCGGCCGATCAATTCAAATTATTGCTGCGGGTGTAATTCTTGAAGCAATATTGCACTCCAATGATTATTACTCCTTATCAGCAGTGGGAAATTTTGCAGAGTTCTTGCTAAAGAGTTACTTTTTTGTGCAAATTTTGCACAATTCTGTTTTTTTTTCATTTCATAGTATAATTAATTAATAACTTGGTTGCACTACTCTTCAGTCTTTCTTCTCATTATTCGTGTGCAAATTTTGTCTTTAGATGCATATGAATGAATGATAGTTTGGCAGGCATGAACTTTAGATCGTCATCTTTAGTAGCATGTATTTCTTACCTGGAAAAAAGTGATCAATTACTTGTCAAAATGTGCCGGAAATCATTCATCATCTATGAATTCAGTGACAGGAAGCGATTTTTCAGATATTATTGTTATTCCCATTCATTTCCGGTTACTTTTCAAAAATTTTATGGCATATTATTTAATCGTTCGTTCGTACTTTTGAAGTAATTTTTTGGTAGTGAGTTGCTAAAGTGTAAAAACGTATTAAACGAGTTTTTCACGTGTAATTAGCATTGTAATTGACATTGTGATGTAGAAAGTAAGTAATTGCAGTTATGGGCTAGATTTAAAAATGAGAACAACGCTAATCATAATTGTGCTGTTTGGGAGGCTTGAGAGTGAATGAAGAAGTGTGGTAATTTGTGTGAAAGGCAAAGGTTTGGTCGACAAAATGTCTGGCGATGTGCAGGATCGATGTAAAGACATGTAGTGATAGAAGGAAGAATGGAGGAGATAAGCGCGGTAGTAGTAAAGCAGCGTGCAAACCAACAGCAGCTGTGGTAAACATTTATTTTACCGTAGAAAATGATTTCTTTTTTTGCAGACTTAAGATGATGTATTAGTTGGCAGAAGAGGTTTAGACGAAAAGTAGCAATAAGTTGGAGAAATGTTGCCCTGTAAAACTTTTTTCCTTTTTGTTAAACGAATAATGTTAAAGAGGTATGAGTGAGAGTGAGCAGATAGATGATGATGCATCACGTAGTTGAGGAACGATACTATTCATTAATGGTAGACGGAGAAACAATGTGTTTGTAGTGCTGTAATCAATGCTGATGATGATTTGGCAAAGAAAGTGAAGAGGTTAATGGATAAGTAGTAGTTGTGAGGAAGTAGATATGTGATTTTAATCCTTGTTATCAATATCATCGTTATCATTTGATCGTTTTGATTAATGAAAGATTACATTGTTTTCCGTTCTAGATTGCATTCTCTGAGGTTATTATTCTATTGCAATTTTGATACATCGATAAAAGTATTTAATTTCTATGTGGTAAATTAATTTTTTGATACAATGGATGGTGATTGTTGTTGATTTTTAGTGATGCTTAGCTGTTTTTGTTTCAATTGCTTCTTTTCTACTGCTTAGTTGTGTGAAAGTTTTTTAATTGTTCATCTATCATATTATTTCATTACTGTTATTATCATTCATAATTACCATGATGCTCTATTCTATTCACAACTTTTTTAATTATATTCATTGATGCTTTTCTTTCCGTTAAAATTTTATACTGCTTTCTTCTTTCATTTTTAACATTTATCAATTGTTTACAAGTGAAAGAGATTCTTTTTGAAAGTATATTTTTATAATTCTTGTGCAGAATTGATGATATTTTTGTAAAGAAAGCGAAGAGATGATGTGATAATTTTAGATTGATTTTCAACTATTGTTACGCTCTGACTTGACTGCAATGAATGTTTTAATTATAGTTTTTGTTTTGTTTTTTATGACTGCTGAATGAGATGGCTTGTTGACTCTTCTGGTATGGCTTCAAGAGGGAGAAATTAGTAAAGAAACGTGGAAAAAGCAGAACTTGTTTATTTTAATGTATTTGCGTACCGTGTTATTTTGCGAATGATCTAAGTTAATTTGATAGGGATAGCAGAGTAAGCACAATTTTTTGTTTGCAGGACGCTTTTTGACCAGCAGTAGATATAAATTAAGATGAATGTAGGCTTTTTAAGTATTAAAATGGAAGTTGAAATTACGATGTGCAAGGATGTGGAGTATTTTACTCTGTTTTCACTTGAAGTGTAGTAGTAAATGAGATACAGAAGTTGTTGATATGCATAAATGATTGCTGAGTTTAAAATAACTTTAATAAATTAAATAGCAAATACATAGCAGGGATAGGAGAAATGAAAGTTTTTCATGTTCTGTGGTCTCAGTCAAATATCAGAGCAAATACATTTATTTATTTATCTATTCACTGACCTTTCAGTACTGGACGAATACATTTAAAGTTAGAGAAATAAATAAATGAGTAATGATTCCCTTTTAAATAGAAGCAAAATTTATATTTCTTGCTTATTGTTGGAATTGGCAAGCCAGTAAGTACTATCTGATTATCGTATTTGTCTGCTCATCCTCCCTCATACTTGCTTTTTACGTAGTGAGCAGGAATGGAATTGGAGTTGGAGTTGCTATCAGATATAAATGTCACCCCAATTGGTGTGCTCTCAATCTTTTCCTCTTACCCTGCTTTGTCCTCGCTTGTCAGTTCCGGTTTTCACCATTTTTCATTTCTCCTTTCCATGTAATTACATTTGCATAGTTACAGTACTGTTATTTTGGTATTGAACATTTTTGCGGTTGTTTTGTTGTATTCGTATATAAAATAACATAACAGTTCGCGTATCTCCTTCCTCATTGTGCTTACTTAATATCTAATGTATGTGTATTCATTTTTCCGTCTATATTCAAATACATGATTTTGAAAGGAAATTCAAATGTTGCAGAGATGTATTTATAACCTTGCGCATACACCGTTAGCTTGTGTATAGATGAGTTGATAAATGTCATATTTGCTGTTATAACTTTCTTGACTTACACACTAATATATAGTTGTGTAAGTCAAGAAAGTTCAACATTTGTGAGTAAAATAAGAGTGAATTGGTTGTACAGGACATAGATAACATTTGTGTTGGTGAGCAAAAATTTGTGCACTTATAATGATAGCAAGTATTCAGTTATTCATTAGTAGCTTTTTTGAGAAGACAACTAAAGCTTTGCAGAGGGAAGTGTATAACAGCTAGTGGTAGGTGTGGGGAATGACCCTCATGTGAACTTTAGACTCTAAGGTCGTGGAAATAGTTGTTGCTGCTGCTATTTTTACATTCTTATCTAGTGTCCTCGATGGTAGGATAGGCATGAAAAGTTCTTTTTGATTAATTGTTATGCTACTGGTAATTACTCTTATTTGTCTGTATTCTTCTTTTTGCTTTTGCTATTCATGCTGCATTCTGCTTGAGATGATGGTTTGTCATGCGGCAACAGCATAAGTGGCATTCTCATCCATTTACCTCAATTTTGACATCCGTTTGGTATATCTTGTAATTTTTGTTGTTTTTAGTTGTCATGCCGTGACCTTGAACTGCTTTTTAGATATTCAACACGCCATCTTTTCATTAATAACCTTGATGAGCACTTTTGCATATCTTAATTTTCTGCAATGGTTATACTTGTTTTGCATTGTTTACATTTGCTAGTTTTTGCTGTTCTGTTTTAGGAGCAAAAAATTTAAAGCGTCTTATGTAGTTCATATGTAAACAAAAAATGGTCAGTACTGACTTGTCATTTATCGATATTTAAGCGCAAATCGGAGACTGTTATTGAAAGAAATAGGAGCATAAATTAACTTTTTAGTTGCTGAAAGAAGGAAGGGATAATTGAATTGTACTCACTAAATCTCTTTGCAACAATAGGGTCCTCGGTATTAATCTATTCCACACTTTTTATCATATCAATGCAATATTAAGAAAGTGATCTTTTTCAAAATATAAGATTATTCTGCTGGTGTTGCTCACATTACAGACTAAAGTAGTTGTGTAAAATTAATTGCACATGTAGTTAATCATCAGTCTTGGACAAAATCTAACATGAATTTCAGCCTGAGTAGTTAGTAATAATGATTTGAAGGCAAATTATGCATTTATTAGATGGAAATTATTATCGATGCATTATCTGTTTTATTATAAATCTAATTTTATGTCCTGTCACAGGGCAATTGAATAAATCCGTTCGTGAATGTGCTGAATAAATTGAGATAGCTTTGCTTGTTTTTCCACTTTTTGTGCATTAATCATTTGAAATTGTTATGGTAGTTTCCGGTATATAATTGATACTCGAATAGATGCCACGCCTTCGCTAAACAAACACTTTTCTTTTGTAATAGATGGAAGCACATTTTCAAGAAAATTTAAATTCAACATAAAATGTACTTTTTTGAATTCAGAAT